GTCCTCATCCGATCTCCTGAGAACCGGCCTCGTGTATCAGGGTGTCTGAAGGAAAAGCTTTGCTTCTTGGACTGACCACCAATCAGATTTTTTTAGGGCTTGGGGAAATCGATTGCTTTCATTGAGAACAGTTCCTTCAGACTATTTGGTGATCCCCATTATGAGACTTTAGCCTGCTAGAATGTGGGAGCTGATGATATCCTGGCCAGTTGTTAATTAGATAATAATGACCACGTTAAATGGAGTGTCCGCATACAGAAAAGGGTGGCAACAAAAATATAAGCGGAGTTCTTATACTTTTCCGCCTTGTCAGTAGTTTAATTTTCATTGGTTTTTCGGGGTCTGTGAGACGGAATATACGCACTGATGGTGAGCAGAACAGAGGAGATTTATTGGAGATGGTGCACAAATTAAACAGTGACTCAGAGTTGAGGTCATTATTGCTTTGTTCTGTTACATAGTTTCCAAGGTTACACTGTATTGAAGATCCGGAAGATAGACCCCTCTCAGCCAAGATATGTTCTATGTAACATCATTGTGTCTGACTTTTCTCCACTGAGATGCTTTTAAATGATTGTAAATTAAGGAAGGTTCCTCCTACATGGGTGATTATACTAACCAAGCTGTAATTGTGTTTGGTTAATCACTGCAATAAAATAATGTACTTATATGTGGTGTTTTTTTATTCAGACAATCTCAATATAAATTAGTAAGCTAAAAATGAGATTGTAGTCCATCATGGGAGTGAGCTTGGAGTGGCAGCTACTCTACAACACACACAGGGACATGAGGAACAAAAGTAGCCACCCTCCAGAAGGAAGGACAGTGTCAGCATGAATTCAGAGATGATTTGAGGATCTACAGCTGAGTGATACACAACTAAGATAAATTTTTGATAGTATGTTAGTAGTTTTAAATGCCCTTTTCAGATTTAAATCCTGAGCTAAGTGTCGCTTAAAAAAAAAAAAAAAATCTGTGCTTTTGCCATTCAGCATAATGCATTAGGTTTGCTTTAACCTACTCCCATTCTCAGCAGCATATACCTTACTGTTCCTTCACTCCCCTACCATTTTGATCATAATCCCTAGTAAGAAACACTATATTGTTTCCAGGTTTAACCTATACCGTTCCACTACATCAGGGCTGTACAAATCTCAGGAGCCAGGTAACCAATGCTCCTTACAAATGACAGCTGGTGCCTCATTTTTTCATATTTTTTTTTAGCTGGCTCCTAAGAAAGAATCCTCTTGGCTCCTGGATTAGACAGACTGGCTCCTGAATTCCATATTATTTGTCTACCCCTGCACAACATAAGATTGAATAAAAATGTGCCATGCTCTTTTTATGAGTAACACCACGCAGTTTTTACTAACCTTAAATTCTCTTGACGTGTATAATTAGAGCAGCAGCATCTATTGATTAACATGAACGTTTGAACCAATTAATTCCATTATGATTAATGAGGTATAATTGCACTAGAGTAGAGTGTGAAATGTCTTGAATATCTCTTTTGTATTAAAGGAAACTTGCCATGAGAGAGCTATAGTGGGTTGTTATATTGACCCTCTTACTTCAAGAAACTTGAGAGCATGTTCACGCCTTAAACCATTATGATGTTGCCAGATGCTTTCAAGTGCCCTGTGTTTTGAAATGATTAGCTCATTCAGTTGTTTTTAATGGAAGCCACAGGGCAACGTATCCAAAGATGCAACACATCAGATTTGTTTGCACAACGCAACTCTCCTCCATTTGAAAACATTACTATTATGTTGCCTGTGTTGCAGAATACGGATTATCCCACCTCAACCTAAACACTGAACCATCACATTCTCAAACAATTCATCCCCACACAGCTACCTCCTCATGTATCACTTCTCCCTCCCTTTTAGATTGTAAGCAGTCACGGGCAGGACCCTCCTTACCATCTTGTCTCGAATTGTATTGTGATTGTAATGTCTGCCTTATATTGTAAAGGGCTGTGCAAACTGTTGGCGCTATGTAAATCCTGTATAATAATAATGTATCCAACATGAATGAGCCCTGAGTAACTGACATGGGAAATGTGTGCCGAGAAGGATTTCTTACTTTAAAGCAATGGCAGGCTGTTGATGTACGCTGGTCCAAGCATATATTTGCTGACATACAGATGTGCATCTCTGGATGTAGTCTTTTTGCATTCAGAGGCGCACAGCCAATCCCGTATGTGTGTGCATGCTTGGGGCAGTGTTTCCTAACATAGAGCCACAACCTGTCCTTGACGTGTACAGACGGCCAGTACACAACACCTGAGGCTCCCGGGAGCAGAGATATGGCCATTGTTTTTTCATTTCTTTTCTTTTAACCATACACAAGGGAATCTACGGTTTCTAAGAAAATTAACAGAAGTAAAAAATCTAACCATATGGAGAAATGTGTTTTTTGCTGATCACATTTTCAGAAATGTCTGGAGAAGTACCTTGAAAATTTTTACACTGGCATTGTGCATCCCAAGCTTCAAGGGCAAGCCTAGTGGGCTGCAGTGGGTGATAAAGTGGATTTAATGTTGCCTCTCGTCTGCCAGTCGTGCAGCACTGAGATAGCTACAGTAGGGGAGTGCCTTCTACTTTATGTATGAAAATGGAAATATGGCCCAGCTCTCAAGTCAAATTTTGAAGCTGTGTTTTTATTTTCACTCATCCATCATCTGCTATTTTCTTGTGTTCTTTGACAAATCTATTCTGTAAGCAATTTTCTTTACCTTTTTTGATGCCTTTTGAGTAGTTTCCTACGGTGTAATAAAGGAAGTAGCATTGCACTGAAATGACTTTTCTAATGCACAAACTAGAGAATTCGCAGGGATATTGCATTTTGTATTTTATCTGGAAGTGTGATTTGAAATCTTCATTAAGAACTTGATTGTGCAGGTATGAAAGCCCATAAAATATCTCGGTAAACCGGGAAACAAATAACACAGCTTGAAAAATGATTAACACTTTCGGGGGAATTTATCACAACTGGAGCAGACAAAATCTGGAGCAGCTGTGCATGGCAACCAATCAGCTTCTGCGCACGATCTGTGCACGGCAACCAAGCAGGATCTGTGCACGGATCCCCTGCTGATGAGAACGGTCACCATTGCAACATCGGTGTCCATCTAGTTCTCTTCAGTTTGTTCAGCTAAGATTTAAAAATGAAAGAGAGAAGCTGATTGGTTGCTATGTACAGCTGCTCCAGATTTTGTCTGCTCCAGTTTTGATAAATTCCCTTCTTTGAATTTTCAGCTGTGATACAAACTTGATTTTATTTTCAGAGTACAGGTTTCTGAAATTTGTCTTTGCACTCTGACATTTTCGACATTTAAATGAACATGTAAACCTTCATGTACAGACCAAGTCCACTAAAGCCACTGCATCCCGGATAGACTTGCCTATTTGAGAAGTTATGTCCCCTTAGGTTTTGTGGACAGTTTAATGATTTCATACTGCTTAAGTATGATGTTATCCTATATCAGGGTTTTTTTTTGTTTTTCCCAGAGTATTTCAAAAAGTAAGTATAACGGTTTCATAGCGGTCTGTTCATAAGTCAGTGGAGCTTACAAGTTTTTTCCCAGTGAGCTTTATAAAATGCATAGTGAAATCCTCCCTCATTAATACCAATCTGGCATGCACGTTCTTTCCTACACTAGGTATTCTAACTTAACAATGAACATTTTGGGACTGGCTTCAGAACTCCATATTGTATAAATATTACTCAGGTTTATTATAGCAACTAGAAAATTTCTGGTTCCATTACTGTCATTTAGCCCTTTTCACATGAACTGATCAGAAGGGGATCTGTGCACGGATCCCCTGCTGATCAGAACGGTCACCATTGTAACATCGGTGTCCGTCTAGTTTTTTTCCTCTGTTTTACGATGGAGGAAAAAGGTGAAATTACCAAACCCATTTTGGTCCATTGGGCAATCGGATGTAAACAGACATTGTGTCCATTTATATCAGGGGTAGCCCTCCAGCTGTGGTGAAACTACAAATCCCATGATGCATGTCTCTCCAGGAGTCATGTCTGTGGCTGTGAGAATCTTGCAATGCCTCATGGGATTTGTAGTTCCACCAAGGCTGGAGGGCCAGAGTTTGGCTACCCCTGGTTTATATCATTTTACCCCCAACCCGGCAGGATCAGGTTTAGTGAATCAGAACTGTGATCCATTTGTTTATCCGGACCTGGTCGGAGCCGGGTAACCGGATGTAAACAGACACCCATCTGTTTTAGATGCGACTGCCCATAGACTAACATCGGACTTCCGATCGTGTCCTCCTGAGTAACCGACAGGTAGACCTGATCGGAGAGCCCGTGTGGTGGGAAAAAAGGACTCTAAGTCATTTAATAGGAAGCACTGTGGTTACAACTTCAATGTTATTAAATTATCTCTAGCGATATTTATTTATTCTACTGCTTTGTGCTCCAGTACTACAAACTAGAATCTTAGAACAATTTGACTAGATTAAAGGTGCCCATACACCTTACCACCATAGCAAGACTTTTGTCTTGCGATGGTCGTATGCCTCTTGAAAGCCCGTACGATCTGCCCACCTTGGACGGGCAGATCGTACTTGCGATCATCGAAAGCCCGCCCCGCTGAGGGGCGGGCTTCCGATGACGGCAATGCAGAACGGGCAGTGTGCGCGTGCGCACACCGGCCCGTTCCGCAGCTATCGGGCGAGCAGGCTAGAAACCCGCCGAGAATCGTACGATTCTCGGCGGGTTTTCGAACATGTTGGCTCGACAAAAGACGTGCGACCGTACAGTAGAAACAGTCGCACGTCTTAGTTCACACTGCTCGATTCTCGTACGATCGAGGGATTTCGCCCGATTCTCGTACGAGAATCGAGCAGTGTATGGGCACCTTTAGACATTATTCAGTCATATCGTTGATTTTTTTACATTTGTGTTTGTTATATGCTGTATACTAAAAAAAACTATTTCCTGTTTTTTTTTTTGTTTTTTTTTTTTTGTTTTTACAGATTTTTGGTAACTGGGAAGCCCAGTTCAGGAGAATAATGAAGTTGATTGCAGGAGGAGGACTTTCTATTACAGGATCTCACACTATGTGTGGGGACTATCTGTACAGTGGCCACACAGTCATGTTAACACTGACATACATGTTTATTAAAGAGTGTAAGTATTCAAGTAGCAACATAGACATGTTTTTATCTGATCTCAGATATCAGTAGATTAATTTGCATAGCTCTTCCACGCCTTTCTAATCAGCTCTCTATTCAGCACAGAGCATTAGGTTTGCGGACTACTGAGCTATTGACACAGCAGAGGGTGTGCTAGACTTCTGCAGCGAGACCGCTGCTTCCACTCAAAGCGCAAGGGTCTTTCTCTGTGGGAGAAAGGCTTTTCCACTCCGTTTCTTATAAACTGGAAGACTGCAGAGTCCCAGAAATACCTGTTTAGCCTGCCAGTTTGTCAGGCTAAACTTGTTTGTTTTATCTCTTGCCTCGTAAGCACTATTGAATTTGGTTGCAAGTCCTGCAAAAGGTTCCTTTTTTTTGTTTGGTTTTTATCTTTAGGTGGAATATTATGGGTCTCTTACTACTTTTAGAACCAACTAGAGTGATGTGTCGAGTACCTGATGTAAACAAGTTGTTTAGGGATTTCCAGGCAGATCTGATCTGTGTTTTCTATTCACTAAAAGATCACACATCACTGGTCATCAAATTCCCAGTCTGGTAACCAGTAATTGTAGGCATTAATCTAGTCATGAAGAATTTTGGCTGACTGGTGCTGTAAATAAGCCTTCCTATGTGTTAACCAGATTCTCTAGAAGCATTTCACCCTGATCCATTGTGTCACTTAGTCTTTTATTCTGCAACCTCAAGTCCTTATGAAGGTGGACTGGTGAGATGACTACTGCTGTGGCTCTCACAAGGGCAAAAAAAAAAATCAACTGGACCTATTAAACGTAGTTGGTGCTCTCAGTTCTTGGCCGTCTTTTGCATCACTACAACACTTACCTCTGCTGAGTTTACCTGCTTTACAGATTAGCTGCACTCTCTACATGCCTGCAAATTATCTTTACACGAGTGTCCAGTGCTCCACAAACACTTGTCTCTGGAGAAAAAATAAACTGAAAAATTGTGAAATTGGTTCAGTGATCCACAACCAGTTTGAAGCTCTGTGTGCCATTTGTCGCCAAAATGTAGTGTTACTAGTTCTGCACCGCAGTTAGACCCTCAAGGATTTTTTTTTTTTTAGGAGATCATTAATAGACTTCTGCAGTATTATAAAGAAATCAGTGGCTCGATACAAAAATCCTAATGCTGTTGGAAATTGCACACATGAAACATGAAAATGGGTGAATCTGATGTTTTTGAAAAATTTGAGGGGGGGCTGGGGGATTGAAGCTTTGCTACTGCGCTTGAGCAATATGCCCGTGGTACAGTTGTTTGGCTGAAATCCCCCTTCCTTAGGTGGATTGAAACAGTTTTGATGTGAGAGAGCAGATAATCCTGCCATGTAATACCTTCTGCTAGCGGGCAAAGCAGTAGTAGATCATTTGTAAGGCATAAATAGCAGAAAAATAAACTGGAAGTAGAGAATGTTTGTTTTTCATCTCTATAAGGTGAAACTATGGCCTCACATTCATAAATATGTGCTGCAGCACCTCATTGTAAGTCCATCTGCATATACAGTTTTCTTAGTCCCCCTGCAAAGTACCATAAACACCTGTTGAGCCTGCCAGTTAAGTCCACCTAATGCAGCTTCCTGTAATAGGGTTGCAAGGATGCTGCATTGTTCCTGAATCCAGGGCAGAGTTGCCACTCTCATGTAAGCTGTCTTAAGTGTCGTTGATATATCAGCATAGTCACTGCTGATTCACAAGCCTGTATCTTGTCATTTAGCACATGGTCCTGCCCACTGCTTTCTGGATTGAATGAACTGCCTATGTTGCTGAAACCCTTCCACTGTGAGTTGCAGTGTCTGGGAGGGGGAGACACAGATGAAGGAAGATTTGGCTAAGCCAGAGAATGTGAAGGAGTTTATTGTTTACTTTGACGCTTGTGCATCAAATAGTAACTGAATCTGGTACATGTTTAGACTGTCATAAAGCAGACTTTTGTTGTATTTTAACTATTCGAAAAATTATTTGTAATTTTATGTATTTTTTTTCTTCCTTCCCTAACAGATTCATCTCGGCGCATCTGGTGGTATCACTGGATCTGCTGGTTTCTCAGCGTTGTTGGGGTCATCTGTATTCTGCTGGCACATGACCACTATACTGTGGATGTTGTTGTTGCTTATTACATCACTTCCAGGTCTTTCTGGTGGTATCACACGATGGCCAACCAACAGGTGAGCGCTCGTGTTTTAGAGCAAACAGTGTTATACATTTTGTGGAGATCTGCATTACCACCTGGGGCCACTAAAATTAAAACGTTGGGAAGTGTCTATACATCCTATTGGAACAGTCCAGCTGGGACTTTGCAGATGTCGATTGGTTGATATGGGTTCTGTATCCACTGTTTTTTTGACTAAGGGTACTGCTTGGATGTTTTGAAAAAGAAAAACATTTTTGGAATCCTAACTGTTAGTTATGTGACATCTTTTTTGTATTTCAGCTAAAGATTATTCAGTGCATATGATCACTATTTATTTTCCTGTGCCAAATGTTCACCAGATGATGATAATACAATTTACGTGATGTTGGTTTTTAATGCCCTTTTTAGTATTTGTAAAATCCCACAATGTAGTTCAATACCTTTTAATTACTCTATAAATCCTTAAATACTCCTAATTTTTTTGTATATTTTTTGTAACACATTTGTTAGGTCTTGTTCACACCAAGCGCGTTCCAGATGCAGAGCAAAGCAGTTACAGAACGGATCAAAACTGCATCCAATGTATTCCAATAGTATTTGGGGCTCTAGTTCCCAACGAAGCGTTCAGTTCCAGAGCATGTAAAAAAACTGCAGCAAGCCTTATTTTTCCTGCTCTGGAATGCTTGCAAACGCATCAAAGATGCATGCAAACGCCCTGGAATGCACTAAAGGCCCATTTTATTTTTATTATTTTTTTTTGTTTCTTTTACAAAAATGGCCCGGAACGTGGCAAAACACACTGCACTGCGTGTAACTGGAGGACACAAACTAGCGTCCTCCCATCACCCTAAGCTCAGTATACCGCGAGCTACAGCTCGCGGTATACTGAGACGCCGCATCTGAAGCGGATCCCGACAATTATGTCTGGATCCGCCCAGCTGTGTGAGTGACAGCTGGCTCTGCCTATCTAGAAGCAGAGCCAGCTGTACCCGCCCCCTCCAGCCACTCTCCTGTCACGGCAGAGAGCTGTGACAGGATCGAGAAGTGAGCGAACGCCGGTATGTGTTCGCTCACCTCCCGATCTACTGAGCCGACCTGTTACAGTCTCATTGTCGCAGGTCGGCTAGAACTATGAGGTGAGTGAAAAACACTCACCTCATAGTTCTCCTTTAATATTGGAACCGGCTACAATCTCAGAACAAGTTCTTAATGTAAACAAATTGGAATTTTGTTGTTTAGGGAATACAGGGCAGATCTGATTCGGGCTGATGGATCACCCATTCTTTATGATAAATCACCCATCACTGGTAATCAAATTCCAAATTAGGTAACTAGTAATTGTAGGCATGATTATCTAGTGAATAGACATTGGAGAACACAACCCAATAGTAAAAGCAATGTGACCTTTCGATCTTTAGTTGTATCAATTGGTGGCTGTGGAAGCTACTGTGGAAGTTGTTGGAGGGTAAAAGGTACCACAAACCCAGACTTGTTTGAGGTAGCGGAAGACCCTCAGTGTGTGTCTCCACCTAATCCAACAAAGCAAAATATACTAGCATAGGAAAGGTACACATGGGCTGAGCAGTATTCTTCACTGAGCTACACAAACCTTTCCATGGACAAAAAGGGTTAAACCGTTTTATTGTGTGTGGTTTTGTATATGTTTGCAAATGAATGCAAGAAAACCTCTGTTATTACTGTTATTATTGCAAACAGTGAGGCTGTTTAATTGCCTAATTTTGTTCAAAGTAGCTGGATCGAGTTCTGGGGGACTTGTATTCAGTGTACTGATCTACCAATGTGCACCGTCCCTTTGCTAGTTATAAATTGATCTGAACGGCTGCCATTTTGTGCTGTACTTTTTTCTGATTCTTCCTGGAGCCTGCTCTAACCTACCATGCGGGTAGCAATAGTTGTACTTTAATAAATATTTGAGAAAATAGCATGAAGTCCTATATTTAATTGTGCTTTTTGCTTGGAATATTTTACAGGTGCTGAAAGACGCTTCCCCATCAAATCTCCTTTCACGGGTGTGGTGGTACAGACCTTTCCAGTACTTTGAGAGGAATGTTCATGGTGTTGTACCCCGTACCTATCACTGGCCCTGGCCCATTACTTGGTCTTGGTTTCTTACTAGGCAAGTGAAGTACAGTAGACTGGTCAATGTGGCATAGCTACATGATGCAAGCAGTGGACTCAGAAGCTCACTGAAGTGCTTAGAACTCATGAGATGTTGCCATAAACGCAAACACCAACACCCCTCTGTATGTTGTTACCTTGACTTATTTCAGTTACCTGGTCAACACTGTGATAATTTTTTCTCCAAAGGACCCATGTTGGAAGTACATGAAATCCAGGAATTTAACTTATCATGCACTGTACAGTTTCCTGGACATGTGGGAAGTACATTACTCATAGCCATGCTTGTTTGTATATGAAGAAACCGAATAGAACACTGAGATTTTATAACCTACATTTGTCTTTTCCAGTAATGTCTGGGAATAAACCAATTATTTTCTTGGGAAAACAATTTCATACCACTTACCCTAAATACTGGGCTCTAAGCCATTTTCTAACCAGTGTCTCTATGAAGGCTTTGTTTTACCTGAACAAATGTATGCTGCAGTCCCACATAATGGGAAGTGTATCAACACTGGTTGAAGGTAGTTATTTTTGTTGTTTTTTTTTTTAATTATATTTTAATCGTTTTCTTATTTGAGCATCTCAAGTGGAACTAAATTTGATATGGTTTAAAAGGAAAACAAGGCTTTTTTTTTTTTTTTTTTTTTTTTGTTAAAGTATTTTTTCCAGTGCTGTGGGACTGCAGCTGTGTATTCTGCAGATCTGTTGCACCAGTGCTTTTCATTAAAAATGATACACAAAAAATGGTTTAGTAAATATGATTTTGTAACAGAATCTTTAGCAGCAGTGTCAAAAAAATAGAAATTACACTCTATTGTAAAGTGATTTTTCTAAGTATTTCCTACCTTTATTTTTCAAACTAATCTTGATAAAGATATCGTATAAAGATTTTTACATGTCGGAGAGAAGATCTAATACAGAGAGATTTGTAAATGTTTCTAGTGCCTTCCTTGTCTTGATTGTATGGTTAGTAGGCAGTCTTAAATCATTTTAATTTTAAATAAAGTATTCCATAAAACACTTGAAGATGAAAAAGTATATAGATATATAATATATGGAAATGTTATTACATAATTTTGGCATTCACATTTAGAGGACACTTTAGCTCAGATTTCTTTGTTTAACTTCACCGTAAACAAAAGTAGAATATTTAAAGCAAGTCATAAATTAAACATTTTTCATTTTTTTTTTTGTTTTAATTTGTTTTAAACATAAATAAGAAGTAGCCATTTCTTAGCAGTTACAAACATTCATTATCCCATGTTAAACCCCACTGCAGTTTATTACCATACCTCTGTTTATATTTGACACTCCTGTTAGTCAATTTCTCTGTTTTATTTGTGCTGAAAATGTTTTATGGTATTTTCACACTAACCATATTTAAGATGAAAAGTATTTGATCATATGATTGCCAATGTACAGGATATAGTAGTTTTTTTTAAGAATGAAGAAATATATCTATAACTGATATATATTCGCATATATATATCTGTTCTGTATAGCAGATTTTCTTTTGTGTTCCCCCCCCCCGCCCCTTTTGTGTATTCACAAGGTGATGTTTGTACTGTAAAGAGAACTCTTGGTGATTTGAAAATAAAATGGTTACAAAAACTTAAAAGCAAATAGAATACACTTGAATTGTGTTTGTGCTTGTATTCATAGCCTTACCATTAATGCTGGGCGGTATGGATCCGAAATGTCTTTGTCTGTTTATGGTGTCTTCTATTATTGACTTAATATAAAAGAAAAATGTCATGTTGTTAAAATGGTTTGCTCCCGTTTTCTTTTTCACCCTACCATGCTTACCTTTTTAGATTTCACAGTTTTCCCCCTTGTTTCCAGAACTGTTAATTAAAATATATTTATTTATATCATGGTTGTGTTGTATTCATTGTCCTTGCTCTATTTATAGACGACAAATATAATGCTGTATAACAAACCTGCATGGGAACCATCCTGTGTGCCGGACAATCTACAGGGAAGTGCAGTGTTAGGTTTAACAGTTCAATGATAGGTTTAGGCACCACTTAACCCCACCCCCCACTTAGACCCCATTCACACGTAGTATAGATAATGAATAGCATTGGCCGGCGACTTCTCGCGATATCGCGCGGCAAAAATGCGCGATATCGCGGCGGAAATCGCGCGATAATTCGCTACATGTGAACGGGGGCCTTAATCTAAACCCTAAAGAAAGCCCTCATTTTTTAAACTCCAAAACCTAAGCCACTAACCTCTTTTTACCCTTAAAAGCTAACCTAGTGCCCATTATTCCTGACCCTAGCACCAACCTTAAGAACCCCTAAACTAATCCCTGGCACTTAATAACTCTCTTTCTTACATACTCACCTCTTCCTGTACCAGGAGCCTCTGCACTGAATCCTCCGCGGAACTACTAACTTTCTTTAAACAACTGAAACTGTCGTTGATCATCACAGTTGTGAAAACAGCCTATGATCCTGGTACCGTGAACGTATGACCTGTAAAGACGGTTACTGATCACGTCCTTGAAGCCCAACCTCCCTACGCCCCTAACTGAAAAGCTTTGGAAATCTGCCATGACATGATCACTGTGGTGCCTCTTCTGCTTGTGGCAACCAGTGGTTGAAACTTCTGTTGGTTCTCTTCATTGGTCTAGCTATCCAGTCTTGTGTCTGTCCCATGCGTCATGCCAGAAATGCAACATGCAAAAGGTAAATGTGGTGCACTACAAACGGTATTGGTGCAAGTCAGGTGGCACCGCTATCTGGTATATTGAATGCTCAGGACAGAGCCATTTGTGAATCACATGACTAATAAATGGCTCTGTCTTGAGATAACAATGTGCTGATGATGGTCTACAATAGAAGATGAAGCAGCTGCCAGCTTGAGGACCCTTCCAACAGTCAGTGGCCAAGGAGTATAGAAAAGTGCTGTGGGCATTAGGAGACCAGACCTTATCGCACTTCAGAACAGAAGGAATAAACCCTAGGACCATGCACGTGACTAAAGTTTTAAGGTAATTAGGGCTTTTAGACTTTTTTCACTAGTCGCCTGGAAGTGCTTGTTAAATGAAGAATGGGCCATGCTCTCCTTGGCATGGCTGGGATTGGGATTTGAGCTCTATGGGTATGTCTTGACAAAAGATATCTCACAGCCTCTCTGCTCACATATTGTATGACTGTCTAAGAAACACATGTATGCATAAAAATGTGCCCCAAAAAGCTTTTTTGTCGGTGCCATTATTATTATTGTACCACGGGAACTGGCAGCATTCATGACAATGCAGTGGTAAGTAAATGCTTGCTGACTCTGTAAAGATTTCAATTACAAAAATCCTATATAGGGACACAAAAATGTGTACTGTAGCTGTAAAAAAAGTTCTTTATACAACGACATGCTTCGTGTGCAGCCACATTTTTTCATGGTTATCTTATGTTGTATAGTTTATTCATTCAGTTTGAACTACAGTTCACCGTACATGCTAAGACTTTCATCAGCTACTTTTTAGACCAACCATTAAATGGGGACAATCCTATTGTATTTGCCTAGGACTATTATTTGGGATGGAACCATCTATAATACATTTGTTAGTGATTTTTGTAGAATTAACCAAATTTATCAAATTCTAACCTGGTGCAACCAGTGCAGAAAATATTCTGCTTAAAGGGCCTTTTCGCATATTTGTGGGTGCGTTGTACTGTGTAATGTCTTGTGTTTTTAAGTTGTGATACAACAACTCGCTGTGTATGCTCATTGCCATTGATTTTCCATAGCACCTTAAGAACACATGCATTGTCTTACAGTGTGCCGGTCAATAAGCAGCAGACGGACTTGGATGCACTTAAGCATTATTCACTTGTGATGACTGCTGAATTTGATTATTTTAGTCTTGCATAGAGTGGAGATGAGTTAAACTCTCTGTCATGTTTTTATTGCCTTATCCCTCTTTGTCCTGGTGATCATTGTCGTAAGGGGAAAACTACAATGTTCTGGTGAATAGGTCCCCTCATTTTGGGTTGATTTTGTTTTAATTTCCTGTGGCATGTTCAGGACACAAAGTAAAAAAGAAAATCTCCCAAATGGGACACAGACAGCAACTTAACCCTTTCATACTCTATCCAAAATGAAAAAAGAGTTTTGCCTTTACATACATTTTAAAGTAAATGCAGATACTTTCCAGCAGATAAAGCAGCCTGTCACGCCTACTGTAGGTGTTCGGAGTGGAGCGCAACTGCGGAGGGGATTTACAGGAGGTGTGGATAATCGGCTTCTCAGGCGTGAGTTTCAGGCGTCACTCCCAGTCTTAAAGGGGAGTTTGAGACTCTTGCATCACAGCCAGTATAAACGGAAATATAAGTAGGGCTATTAACTCATAGCATCCCATTAGTAGTATTAGAAAAGTCAAAGGTGAATTAGCATAGACTTGATGTAGCGAGGTACAGTTGTATTGTTGAGCAAGCAGGTATTCCCAATATCATGCAACAATTGTATAGGCCAGCAGGGGAGCAGGCATATAGGAGAACTGACAGTCTGTATTTGGGCTCCAACTGGAGCGATACTTGCGGTTTGGAGCCGTTGCAGAGCAGCGTTGCTACAGGGTGTGGGTCCAGGTGAATGGTGGTCCGGCACGTGGAGTAAGGGGTCCAGATAGACTTGGTGCAGGAGGCAGCAGGCGTTCTGACTCCAATTGTAGAACGTCATGCTGCCTCAGCTGGGGCTTTAAATAGCCCAAGGATGTGGGAGGAACCGCCGGCCGCAACAAGCGATTTCCGCGTTCCAGCGTGGAACGCAAGCCGCTCGCCTCACAATCAGGAAGTCGAGCGGCTTCCGCGTTCCACAGTGGAACGCAGAGCGGCCGTCATAGAAGCAGGCATGACCGAGGCGGCCTGGCCCCGAGGGGAATCGTCACACAGCCCTACTCCAGAATGAACTAGATATAAAATAAAGTACTAATTGGGCCGTGCTGACGAAGTCGTGTACAGACTCAACGTGCGTAGCGTGGAGCTAGGATTGTCATGAACGAGCGCGGCTGCAGAATTTGTTTGAATGTTATTGTTTTGTGTATTTTATGTGAGTACTTCTTTTAATAAAGCGTTTTTAGAAAAGAGACGGTCTGCACTATACACTCACTGGCCACTTTATTAGGTACACCTTACTAGTACCGGGTTGGGCCCCCTTTTGCCTTCAGAACTGCCTTAATTCTTCATGGCATTGATTCAACAAGGTGTTGGAAACCTTGCTCAGAGAGTTTGGTCCCTATTGACATGATAGCATAACGGGCCCAAAGTATGCCAAGAAAATATCCCCCCACCATTACACCACCACCACCCTGAACCGTTGATGCAAGGCAGGATGGATACATGCTTCCATGTTGTTTACTCCAAATTCTGACCCTACCATCTGAATGTTTCTGATTTTTTTTTTTTTTTTATTCAGGCAAGTTGATGCTGCCTTAAACTTTTCAGAAGAGGGCATGCAGAAAAGTAGAGGGTTGGTGTCTCAACATCTGCAGCTGATATCATGACTAAACAACACAAAGGGCAAGTTGTGAGAGCTTCTATAGTCTCAGATTTCCTGGCTTCACATGGACTTTCAAAAACTTTACAGTGTTTAACCAGGTGACTATCAGTGACATGCGGTATCTCTTGCTCCGGGTAAAGCATTCCCCAGCCTCGCCCCCAGCACCTCCCACCCAGGGCCGGTGCTAGGATCCTTGCCTTCGCTCTCCCGACCGAAGGTAAGTGACAAGTACTTGTCAAAATGCCCTGTTTTTTCCGCCCTCACCCTGCAGCGCCGTAAGGTGGCCGCCTGACTTGCCTTGCGGTAGCGCCGGGCCTGCTCCCACCCCGCCCCCTGCCGGCCGAAGCCCCACCCCCCACCCATCCCCAAGCTAGTGTAAAGGAGGAGACGGAGGAGCCTCCCTGTCCCTTACTTGCTCCTCACTGCTGAGGCGCTTCGTCCTTGACAGGTTGCACAGCAGGTGTAACGTGTTAGATGCCGATCTGAATGAAGAAAAAGCTGTCAGATTCAGACATGAATCTGGCCCTGCCTCCCCTAACTGCATGTCCCTGGTGACTATAGGTGCCCCTTAATGTGTGCTGAATGGTGTTTTCAATTCTATCGCTTTTTGTTTTTTTTAGTTACACCGACATGGCTTCTTGCTAGGGGTACACCGATACTAGTATCGGTGCCAATACCGATATTTGGGCGAGCACTCGTACTTTACAAATGCTTTAATACCTTCCCCAATACCTAAACTTCTGGTCAGAAGGAGATTTTCTCTGCCCGGCATTACAGTGAGGGAACTTGGAGCCAGCTTCCCAGCCAATCAGGAAGCCGGGCAGCGGGTAATGACTCGCCACACGGCTTCCTGATTGACCAGGAAGCTGGCTCCATGCTGATTGGCTGGGAAGCCAGCTTCCCAGCCAATCAATATGGAGCCAGCTTCCCGGGCAATGAAGGCGAGTAATGACACGATGCCCGGCTTCCTGATTGCCTGGGAAGCCG